AAGAATATTTTTTCCTCGTTCCTTTACAATAAAGCTTGCAGAGCGTTTTCTCTGGAACATAGGGATGATCATGAATTTTTTATTTAGCAAATGATACATGAAAAAAATATGACAGTGTAGCTGGAATGCGGCATACACTATGTGATAACTAACTGCATGTGCCACTCCACACTTTGAAATAAATTAAGCACATTAAAAAGAGCATAAGCTCTTATCAAAGATTAAACAAGCCACCAACCAAGACAGTCTTTGCAAACCTGTTTTGAAGCTTTAGATCAAAGTGTGTGCCAGTAGCCTAAGGGTTGCTGACTCACCGGCAGGAATGCCTAGGCACTGCTGCCCACAACCCCACTGCTCTTTGTTCTTGTCTTTCAGAATTGTATTGGAAGTGCAGCCCAGAGGGCTCATTAGCCATGAGTTGGGGTAACTGGAAGAGAACTCAAGGGTACCAGGTTTTTCTTTAGCAAGTACCTTATCAGTAGGTTCTCCCAATTTATATTTACTGATCTATGGTTTTGCATGTATGATGTCACTGAATCTGTTCAAATGGCAGCCCCACAAACAGCTGCACTGGCAAAACTAAAACTGGCAAGGGGCAAGAATAAGCAGGAAGGGCTAGAGAACAGGCATTTTTGTTAAGCCACCGTTACCACAAAGAAACATAATACTGCAATCTCAAAGAGTAACAGTGAATACCTAAAAGGTTATGTGTAATTTAGTGGATGATGATGCATTAATCTCAAACTCCAGAAATAAAGAAGAAACATGCTTTTTTTACCTTGTCTGTAAGACAGACATGAAGATCATGAATGTGGAAAAGTTTCCTCAACACAGGCAGAGGTTACCTCTTGATTTAATGTTTTTAAGAACAGGTTGGACAAGCACATAAAGAATATTTTTCACTCTGGCCTGAAGTCACACTTAGGCTCACATTTCTGCATTTTCACGAACAATTCAGTAAGTAATTGGCACTACTCAAATAAACCAATAGACCTCATGAAACTGCTGACCCGCATAGTTCAGCATATGCACAAATAATCTGCAATATGCCATAACACAGTTATATCATTAAAGTCACTTATTTTGAAGCTGTTTTGTACAGTAATTGAATGCTTAGCCCTTCAACTCGTCATAAAATTAGTGAAAGCCTTTGCTAAAACAGGGCAAAATGTTGAAAACACAAGCAGTCCACTATTGAAAAGTATTAGATATAACCCCCACACGCAAATCCAACTGATAACAAGATATGAATTCTCTCAAGGAGAGTTAAGTCTCGTTAGTTTCCTTTGGTGATAGTATAAAATTTAATATGCGTTATAAGGCTGATGACAAGTAGACCTACAGCTACTACTGACCAATCTTTCATTCACATTCATAGTGTTTATAGTAAATATGTTACTGAAAAACAGCCCATCCCAATAATTTTGTCTCTTCACACAGAAATTTATGTAGAAATCAAGATTCAGACCATAAGATAAGGTATCAAGTGAGCAAACAGAACAGAGCTGGGGCACTTTTTCCTGGATCTGACAATCTTACTTTGCTAAAGAATAGACAGCATGTAACATGTTTTCTGCTTGAACAAACTGCAAATTTTTTTTCAAATTACAATTTTTCTTTTAGCTATCCTGGCTACCATGATAGACATGGTAAATAAATCACATTGGACAGTAATACTTGTGGTTGAGATATGCGGCAGTGTTTAGCTTTTATTTCAGGAATAACAATGCTAGAACATCCAGGAAAACAGCTCATATAAGAACAGTTCAGTGGTTTGGAGATACCAGAACTAACACATCACATTTAACAGTCAGCTTTGCTATACTTGGAAAGAATTCTGGTGTTTTGGACACATGTGGAACATGAGAAAAGTTACCTACATCTCATGCACAACTTAAGTTACACTATAAGAACAATTATAAAATAAAAAAGAATTGTACATTCAGCAGAAGACACATCATCATCATCATTGAAATGAACCAGGCAGGTAATTCAAATCAAAATAAACATAAATTTAGCTTAAAGATGCTTTCCATTAATTTAATTCAATTTTTTTGAGTACTTCCCAAAGAGTAGATTTTTTTTAAAAAAAATCTATACTAAAGTAGACAATTCCAATGTTTAGTTTAATACTAAAGTGTAAACCAAAGCAAAATAATATCACTTCTGTTGACTTACTTTAGTAACTTGTAAACAAATATTCTCCATTTGTACAAATGGCAGTGAGAAATTTCTTACATCAGTATCTTTTGACAAATAATTGAAGTGCATTCTAAAAATGGATCTTTAGTTGGTTTTAATAGCTTCTATCATTGATTTCTCAAATTAGACATAATTTCATTCTGAAATGGAGAGAATACTCTTCCATAACCAAAAACCTTCAGATCTATTGTTTTAAGAATGATTTTTTTAAAAAGAAAAGAAAAAGACATACAACATCTTCTATTAAAAGCTAAGATTTGTCAATAGCGCTGTCTTTGTTACGGAAATACCACATTTTTTTCTCCTATTTATTATTATACAATAATTAAGTGCTCATTTTTTCAACTGAGACTGTTTTGTCGTTGTTATAATCCAGAAACATAATGCCATCTCTGCTATGAACACTACACCTCTGGAAAAATAAAAAAGCTGACAATTTTTTTTATAAAAAGACAACAACCCTGAGGCATGAAGATTCAATTCTGTTGGTCACAACATTCAAAAGCACTAAGTAAACCAATAAGATACTGGTATATTTTTTCACAGTTTCTGAATTTCGAGCTGAATATGTATAGATTCATGAGGTACGCACAAGCAGACATTAAGACTTACATACACAAATGCTTGGAGAAACAAGCCACAGATAAGGAGGATTGATCTCATGCAAGTAACTCCATGGAATTCCACAGATCTTCCCATATCTCACACCAGTAGAACAAAGCAGTCAGGCTATTGGATTGTCTCACTGTTAAAGCCATCTAATACATGGATCTAGAATCTGAATTCATGGAGGAATAATGAAGTCCTACTGAATGACAAGATTTTTTTTTTTAAAAAAAACCACTTTCATGGAAATAAAAGGCTACATTATCAGTAAACACAACCTGCTGCCCTCCCCCCCTTCTTTGTTTCAGTTGTGTCCTAAAAAAATCAAAAGCAACATTCATATTAATCACACCACAATATTTTGCTTTCATGTGTTCTCCCCTCTTTTTACCCTTTCCCCACTTTCAAAATGCATTTCCAAGCTACTAATACTCCAGTAAGGACATTTAACCAATGTTAGTCACTTTAGATTAAACAGCATAACATCTTAATCTCCATGCACCATATAAGGAAAATTATGCTGATCCTTCCAGTTTCTTGTCTTTTCTAGTTCATTAGGGGATTCACATTAGATAATATATAGTTATTATTATGTGGTTATATTTCTAGCCCAAAGGGGCAAGTTTATAGTAGAAAAGTGCCATCTTGAGCCTACTGAGGAAAAACCCACAACCAACCAACCAAAAAAACCTCAAAGCAATAGAATTTAGGTCCTAATCCTGCAAATATGTAGTTACTCAAAAACAATTCAGTAGTACTATTCAGAACATAAGAAAAAGCTTGTGAAATTAAACTAAGTTTTATAAAAATGAACAAATCCTCCACTTGTTTTGCACGGTTGGAGTTCCTTGTCCAAAGAAGTGAACATATAAATAACCACTTCTTAGGAACAACTTCTTTTTGCTTTTCATCTAGCCTTTTTTATTCATGGATCCCTGGAGAATAAGTGTTAAGTCTCAGCACTCCAAAATAGAGGAGTTGATTTATTATTTTTAAGTTAAGATCCCTCCCCCTCCAATATGGAATGAAAATTTGAAATACATTATAAATAGACTTTCAGATGTTTTTTTGCGTGTTAAAGCAAAATCCTGTATTTGCTTCATACAAATTACTCAACTTGTGTCCATAGTATTCTTGCCCACATTTGAAGTTGCTCTAAGCAGGCATTAAATCCAGACTGTCACCCCATATGTCTAGTGTTAATACAGTCACCTTTGCCTCAGAAGAGCAAACCTAAGATCTTTAAAATTAAACCCCTTAATCAGAGAAACACGATTTCTCCAACCAGCTAGGTATTTATAAAATATTTTGTTACTTCCCTTTTTTTCTATTCCCATCTTTTTAGAGTCCTTCTATTATTGTGGTACATAATAAAGAGGGTCAGGTCAGACTATGCTAGCTCATTGTCTCTCACACATAATGGTTCCAGCCAACACCCTTACTTCAGATATTTCTTTCTGTCAAGCCTGCCATCCCTTCACTATTGCATCAGACTATCTTCCAGTAATTCATTCAAGCTCGCTCTCTGCCAATTTCTCCCTTTGTACCTTCTATAACAGTCATTTTGCTGCCCTCTGTGCTGTTTTAGACATAAGGAAAAATGCACACAGGAAAAGAGCCTCATTCCTCATTTCTGTGACACAGTAGCCAAGTGGAACAATTTCAGATAGACACCAGCTCACCCCAGTAGAATTCTGTAACACACTGGTTTTCCAACTTTTTAAAAATTCTAACCCATGAAAACATGTCATTAAAGACAAAGTACTGTAAATTTAAACCTGACAATAGGCTTGAGTATCAAATGTATCTTGTATGTTTCTCAGAAGCAGCTTAAGTTTCTTCCAGCAGACCTATTTGAGGTAGAGGGATATTCAGTTGCTCTGTGTGTATAATACATACATGGTCTGGTTGGCGCCCTAGATATCCGAGAGGGAAAAAATATGCATGCTCCGTGGATACAAATCTTCAGAATACAGACCAAAATATGTAACAAAAGTCATGTCTCCAACTCCAAGAGCATTCTATTAGATTTCAAGTCCTTAACTCAAATTTTGAAAACAGAAGAGGCTCTTAATAAAATGTGTTCCCTAAATTCATTCTCATATGCTGATTAATATTCTTACTGGAAACTTTACAAAATAAAAAGAAACTCTTGCATACTTTGAGTCCAGAAGAATGGAAGTTTGACAAGCTTTCAAGCAGCTGGAAACTGTTTTACTAATGAACATCAGGTAATCATAACTAAAACTTCAATACAGCTCCACATCTGTGTTAAGCAATCTTTAAAGGCAGGTTTTAATGTTTTGAGTTTTTAAAGGTTATAAGGGAAGAGTATTCAGATAATTAAATCTGATACTTAATGCTACCTTGTCCTTCCCTCAGTGGCAGTGATTGCTGTCAACCCTACAACACTGTGTATTACAACATAATAAGCAGAGAGAAGGTTAGCAAGAAGAGCCCATGCTTTGGTTTTTAACCCATTATAAAATGGTAACATCCTACATGTAGTTGTAAACAATTTCATTTACAGAAAAAAATAAAAATGTGTCCTCACAAGTAAAAAGAAATTCTTTTAGTAAAGACAAAAAAGTATTCAAAATACAGTTATAAAATTTTGGCATAGGTCTATTTGCATGGTTCATGCCAAGAGACTGTATGGAGAGGATGTGTAAGATAGGTAGAAAAGAGAAGAATGGGGTAATATAGTTTGTTACAGGATTAAGCTAAATGTTCAGAATTCTCTATATATAGAAATACAGAAAGACATTCTACGGAGCCAGATAGTAAAGAGCAATTCATAATAGCTGGCCACAGTGCACTGAATTCCTTTTTTTCCTTAGCAGTTGCTTGAGAGATACATTAGGTAATTGCACTGCCATGCTGCCAGATAATACTGGAATTATGAATTTTACCAGTACAGCAATTTTACTGTTAAGAAAATTGCTAATAAAGATCCTAACAAACAAGAAGAATTTTACCAGGAACATACAAAGTCAGGTTACATTGATGCCATAGATATTATCTCTGTCCTTTAAAATCCTTTTAGTATTTCTAGATTCTTTCCACTAGAAAAAAAGAAAAATCAAGAGAAATCAAATACGTACAGAAACACACTCACTCAAATGGCACTCATTGCATTTTGTACAATTAAGCTTTAGTGAAAATATACATCTTAAAACAAATGAAGTACAAATGTACAAAAATCCTCGAACTCAGATAAAAAATATATATAATACACTTTGCTACAGAGATATAAAACATTTAAAGTTTGCTCATCCCTTTCGATGAGTGTAAAATGATTTAAAGTCTGGAGGATTCCTGCTCATCATCACTGCAATCAGATTTAAAGCAGACCTGCAACAGAAGACCAAGAGACAATTCAGCTGCAGAACTGATGCTATTGTTGGTTTGTGTGGTTTTTTGGGGCACAGAAAGGCTGGGCAGAGGTATGTGGCTGGCTCTTTTTCCAGAATATTTTACTCCATACTAACTAAATGCTTTGGGAATATCAAAGGAAACCACAACCTGACCCCAAATCTCAAATCATTAAAGTTTCATTTAACCTTAAATTCTTCCTTTCTTTTAACTTCACAGAACAATTAACTGCAGTCATTACTTCGAAACTAACTGAAGGCTCTCAAGCCATATTAATTTTTTTAGAACTCTTTCTCAATACATAGAACCATACCTTGGGACAGAGGGAACCCTGCTGATTCAGCTGGAAAAGACTACAGTAAGACACAAGCTTTAGCTACATGAGATTATTAGTACACTTAACCATTCCTTCTATTCCATTACTGTAAGTGGGGGAAAAGTGAATTTGAAAAGGTGAACTAAAAATGACAGTACAATTATAGATTCCATTAGCATTGTACCATTTTAGAGAGGTGAATTACCAGCTGATGACAAAAAACATCATCATGCAATTTTAATAGATGGCCCTGTTGTGGCTACTTAATGCTATGCTCCTACCAATTTAAAAATTCCATTTCTGCTTGAAAGCAAAAGTATTTTCTACAGAAGCATTCTCTTTTGGAATACACTTCTGCTTCTCAAGATAATTCTACTCTAAGTGCAGGCATACTGAGCAAGCAGAATTGGTATACTATCTTCAACCAAAAACCTTTACAAATAGCCTACTTCTGCATCACCTATAATCAAGCACAATATGCCACATGTCTTTTAGGTGGTAAATACTCAATTCATCCACTCTTTAATAAACATTTAGAGGTTTAAGTTCTGTGTGTAAGAAAGGGCTGTGCATTATCAGCTATGTAAAAATAGAATATGTTGTTGTTTTAGTAAAGGCACTAAACTACCTAAGATATTTTAAGATTTGTTTCACAACACTTCTACACAGTCAATTCATTTAAGGGATATTTTTACTTATTTGCTTAATGCACTAGAATGATACATTGGGAGCCCAGCTTCTTAAAGGAGCAAGTCCTAGGAGTTGCATTACTCCACCACACTGACTTGTGAGTTCATTAATTAATTTTATTTAAAGTTTTTAGAGAGAGGGCCTCATTTATCTCCAGAGGGCCTCAATTATCTCCAAAGTCATCTCCCCAGAAATTTTTATAAAAAAAGGGCAAAATACATAAGGAGCAAGATCCAAATTAATATCTTTATATCTTTAGGAAAGAAAGATCTATAGCACAGCTGTTAACAGCACACACTACCTTTTCCCCAGGTAACAGCTAGGAGACACTAGAGGAACACAGAATGCTCAAGGAGAAAAAACTCCTGGAGTTATGGGGATTGCCATAGTTTCTGAAATGCAGTGCAGAGACAAAGCCATAACAAACCAGATTTCATTAGTTTTGGTATTCAGCAAACAACTTGCTTTTACTTTCGCAAAATAATATAAAAAAATTGAATGGAATGTTAAGGTCTTACTGGTAATTTCCTTAAGAAAGAAAAGAAATACCCTTACCTCTCCACTAAAAAGTCTGTGAAAGAAGCCTCTTTTTGGTTTAGGAGACCTCTCTCTGTCTGGTGACACAGTACCATCAGTTTCATATGCATTGATATCTTCAAAGCATCCTGTTTCAATCATCTTTGAAACATATGAAATATAAATTGAAATATCCATACAAGCCTTGCAAACAAGTTCCATATATTATGTATTTCTTCTGGCTGGGTACTCCTAACAAGTTACAAATTCATCAGCCAAACCACACCACTTGCAGAGCTCCATGAAGGAAGGCAAAGTCTACATTAACTCTCCTTGTGTACCCAACAAACTAAAAAATAGCCATGAGAGGACTATCATGCAATAAGTACTTCAGATGCTCCCTTGCTTTGGGAGGGTATTTCTTCTGCCCATGATGCAATAATCAGAAGTTTTTAGAACTAGAAATTGATTCTCCTATCATCTGTTCTTCTCATTTCACAGCAGTTTAGCCTGACAAATATAGTATCTCTATACCCTGGACTGAAAATAAACATGACATTTAATAGGAGAAATCATTATTCTATGCAGAATACTAGTACTCGCATAGTATTGGGGGATACTTTTTACAAAGGGGACAAATTACATTCTTGGAGAAAAAGCAGCTGATGTCTACCACAGTAATTTAAGCATCATTCTGGTGTTTTGGGCAACTGTCTATTAAAACACAACTAAAATATACCATAATTAGAAATAAGGCAGCGAAAAAAAAAAAAAAAAAAAGACAACTGATTTCTGGGGAGAAGTGAGGGATGTTGAAGTGATCTGTGTTGTGTTTGTGAAAACAAAATAATTAAACACACAATTATGGGGTGCAGAAAGAATAAATGCCAAAATGTAACAAACAGGCATGGTCAGAAGTGGCTAACGCCCACATGTAGTTGGCATTTATCGGTGAGTGTCACTGACGCATCTATCATAATGGGCATGCAACAAAATGATTATGCCTTGTAGAATAAGAGAGGACATAAAGAGAAATAAGAAGAAATGTGGTCTGCTTTTGTCATAAACAATGATATTAGGTAAATTATGGGAGGGGAGGAGGAATCTTAAGAGGCTGAGAGAAAGATTTGAAGGAAAATCTCAGTAATATGAATAAAAAGAAAAAAATAAGCACAAATGTAAAATGAAGTCTGCACAGTTATTCCTCAAAGAGAAGGAATTAGCATCACCAGATTATCACAACTGCTTTCAAATTTATCCCTCTATGTGGGCTTAGTTGTTAAGCTGCTGTGCATTTCTTAATGACTGGATCAGAGACTGAAGTTCAGAATTACAACATAGCAGGAAGTGTTTATTTCTCCAATAGCCTAAGGTTCATTGCTTCTCAGCAAATACTTTCTATGTCAAATGACCCCTTCAAATCTCATTCTTAAATGTAATGCAAAAAAAAAGCAGAAGGGAAACAAAAAGGAATGTATTTTTTTCTCCGAGTTGCTCATCTTTTGTGTTCATACTTTAAATTTAAAAAAAACATACTGGGAAAGAAACTACACTAGTAGAATTCAAGACAATACTAATTTCAGAAAGTTATGAACATCTTATAATAGGGGGAAATCATTCATAACAAAAACTAGAATTTTAAATAATTATTACTAAATGCTCTTTCTGATTTAATGAAGATTTGAATTTCCTAAATACAGACTAAACTGCATGCAGAGGTAGCAAAATTCTAGTATTCTACACAGAATACTAGAATACTCATTCACTAGGTAGATGAAAAAGCTTTAAGAGAAAGTCTGACTCAACCCATATAGAACTGTTTGTTTTGAAACCTTAGAAAAGGTGAATTTGCAGTTCTGTATTATTATGCCACTTGAATACTCTATTGATATACAGGCATAATACACAAACAGCTTGCATTGCTTTATTTGCTTTTGAATACTTTGAATAACATTCTATCCCTCTCCTATGAACAGCAATATTGAATAACATGTGATAGAACAACAAGGAAAATGTGGTGATACTGTTGCTAAATACTGCTTTGTATGCTGTATCTATGATGACAGGATGCCAGATTCTATTTATTCAAGTTTACGATAGCTCTCAATTTTTAGCAAGTTATTTTCTGGGAAAAACTTTTTCTGAAGACTCAAGTCAGCAAAGAAGTCTAAAGCAGAAACTTCTTTACATCTCACAGAGAAATTTAATACTATAATTATATCCCTTATTAAATCTTCTGTACTGCTGTGCTAAAGAAAATAATCTATATTAAATATACATACCTCGTTTTGCCAAGGGATTGAGACACAACCCGTAACAAATTTGGAATAGAAGTCATCATCCGTAGTATCCAGATTCACTCCTTTTACTGTTGAGAACTGCTCTATGTCTAGGACATCTTTACAATATACGGCACGTGGCTGCAGTACAAAACAAGATTGCTTCATTAAGGTTTCTGTGGTTTGGGGGGTTTCTTGTATTGGTTTGGGTTTAATTATTTTTCTTTATTTCCTAGATGAGCAAAGGGGGAGACAAATGTCTGCAATTTTGTATTTCACATTGCTAATCACCAAATTACATTATACTACAAAACAGAAATGCAAAAACATAGAAGACTCTTCATAAGGCACCTGAGCAATTCCATCCATCCTGCAAGTAACAGAAAGGAAATATCAAAACCAGAAACAGCATGCAATGTTTCTGGATTTTCTAATGTTTGTCGTAATTCACTCATCTTCTGTCACCCTCCTTTCAACTCCAGAGTAATTTCTTCAAAGCTAATCTTCCTTTGTTCAGCATCTGCGCTCTGGAAGTAGACTTTTAAGAGCTAAGAAATCAGCTACAAAGCTCCCTAGAGCAATACCACTATTGTAAATTGTTTTGTGATCTCAGATGAAATGCCACAAAACAGCTACTATCAATACCTACAATGGCATACTCCTACCAATGTAATTAACTTTAAAAGTTTCTGTGGAGTTCACATGATTGCAGGTATAGAATTATGACAGTTATTGCCTTTTTAGATACTAATCAAATCTGTCTCACCTACTTACATCTGGCAAGAACGGAGGTTCTAACATGTTAGCTTCCAGCCTCTTGAAGTTAATATTCTTGAAAATAGGATGTTGCTTTACAATAGCAGCTCCATCTTCAGTGCAACCCAGTCGTTCCCCTGGATTTTTAGCAAGTAACTGCAAAGGGGAAAAAAAGGCTGATCGAGTGATATAATCCCACAATTTAAAAAAAAAAAAAAAAAAATCAATCTATATCAAATGTCTTTTAATAAGTTTATTTTGTTACTTAGCTTTTTATTAGATGAAATTTATCATGCTATCAAAACAAACTGGAAATCGAAATGGCAACATTCTGGGAACAGATTTTCAGTAGTCAGAAGACTTCCTGAAAGCAGACCATTTGAAGATTGTACCCAAAGTTAAGTGAAAATATTTTAATTGATGCCATACTGAATAGATTTTACAGTACAGGCTTTGTAACAGACTTTACTTTCAAGAAATACAGGCTTTTTTTTCTTTTTCAATGGGCTTAACTAATGTACATATTTTGCATAAACTAGTAAAGAAAACTTTTGAAGCTTTCTGTATAGATGTGTCTGTTTTAAAATTTAAGAACATGCAAGATTAGAAAACCTGTTGTTTCATACAGGCTCTTTTAAGCAAGAAAACTAGTATAGTACTCTCCCATTTCTCCCCATGCAGTATCAAAGTTGAGTGTGCTATTGTACTCTGCCTATAATTACATGTGATCCAAGGAGTCCTGGACCTTTTCATTCACATGATGAATGCAGCCTTCCTTCATCTTAAAAAAAGTTCTGAATTCTTAAACTTTGATAATTGAACAATTCATGGACAATCACAAACTTCCATCTGAACCAAAGAAAGATTTAAGAACTCCAGTTTTGAAAAATTTTCAATAGATGTTAAAATAAAGTAGTTCATCTCTTAAAAAAGTATTAGAAATTTAATTTTCAAACCTCTACGTCTCTTCACCCACCATCCTGCAGATAGATTTTGCCTCCTCTGAGAACTTGTCTGAATACGTTTCCTGGTCTTCCTTTACTCTCCGGTCAATCTCATCCCGTTTGACCCTTTCCTTATGCTTCCTGAATGGAGACTGTCCTTCAATCATTTCATAAATCAAGCATCCAAGACCCCACCAATCCGGGCTGAATGTGTACTTTTCATTTTTGAGCACTTCTGGAGCTATAAAACAAAAACAAAAAAAAAACCCATGACAATTCACTTTAAATTGATTAATAAAATATTGGAAAAACTCTCGGGTACTCTTTCCGCCCTGTGCAGAGATCTTCGCATAACTCCTCTGTACTTTGAAGAAACATTAATTTCTAGAGCAAGGACTCTATTTATATCCAAGAGAAGCACTTAAGTTCTTTAACACTTAAGGTCAGCATTGTTTGCAAGCTGAGAATGAAGTTTGTCCAAAGCATGGAAAGAAATGTGTTGTCACAGTAATTTATCTGCTTACCCATGACCCTAAATCTCTTTGAACCTCAAAAAACAAAAAAAAAACAAACAAAAAACAAACAAACAAAAAAAAAAAAATTAGGTGCTTTCTTAAAGTTCTACCTAATACTAGAATTTCCAGAGTTAAGTTTTCAGGTTTATCAGTAGGCTCATAATTGACTATTAACTTCTATCACCACATACTGTAACCTTAAAAGCCTAGTAACTAATCCAGGCCCAACAGAGTTCTTTGGACAAGTCATTCATATAGTCACAGAAAAAAATTTTCTGGTAAAATGTAACTAGCAAAGAATACTTTACATACCCATGTAACCAACAGTTCCAACCCGTCCCCGGACTGTTTCTCCTTCTGGAATCTGAACAGCTAATCCAAGATCTGAAATTCTTATGTGTCCTATATATGTTAAAATAAATTAAACATAGTCAGCAAATAATAAAGTAACATCACATTTAAAACAAATAATTTCTGTAGCATACTTCATAAAAAAAAAAACCCACTCCAAAACATTAGAACATTCATAGACTTATAGCACTAAGTTTATTTAACTTAACTAAAAAGGAGTGATTTATCATTATTCAACTCTTCCTTGAATGCGTAAAGGAAGAAAGGCACAGATCTAACTGATTTCCTGAAGGTCATACAAAAAGAATTTGCTATTAAGTACTCTAATTCCTAGCTTTGGCATAGGCTGCTACTCTAGGACAAACAGAAATGATGACTGCTCATTTCAAATTCTGTATCTATGCATCAGACACTTGTATTTTTCCATTCCATATTCCTGCCACAAACACTTCGCTTTCTGACTTCCTAACAAAACATCAGAATTTACTCCATGTTTCCCAAATACAAGAAAACTGTAGCCTGTACTGAGACATCAGGTTTTCCTCTAACAAAGTACCCTAATAATGCTGAGCACAATTAATTGCAATTGCTATCCCCTCTCTCACCCTAATTAAAAGCTAATTATAAATGAAAATGAAAGCCTACTTATAATTATTTATATTGTAACATGTCAGTACATTATTAGATTTCCCCTTCTCATGAATCAGTCTATTTCACTTTATTAGTCAAACTTCAAGTTGACTACCTTTCCTACTATGCATGGCGTTTACACTTGCACCTGTGACATAGTAGTCTGGCGGAAGGCTACGATTTGTCATGAAAATCACTGCTCAGATGGGGAAACAGTCCCAGAAGCGCAATGGGAGCAAGTTCACCCCACCCTCCCTTACATTCCAATGGACAGATACAGTTATTTGCTGGAGAGACTCAACAACAAATGATTTAAGACAGTCCAAGACAAGAATTGTATTGACAGGATTCTATTTTAAGAATACGTAAGGTACTTTCTTAATAAAAATATAAAGGGCTAGACAAAAGAAAGGTAAATTACATTTTCAACTCAATTTTAAAAAAGAAAATTGCCAATTATCCGTAGTAGAAAGATTCAGAGTGAAAAAAACAAACCAAACCTAACCCCATACATTTTTAATACTGAATCTAAGGACAGGGACACTGTCATTTACAGAAACATTGCAGATTCACAGAATTCAGGCTAGAAGGGACTTCAGAAGGTCTCTAGTACAACCTTCTGAGCAAGCAGTCAGCCCGAAGTGTTCAAATGTTTTTTAATTCTTGTCTAGAAAACCTCAAAGAGTGGACACTGTATCACCTCTCTGGGCAGCACATTCCAATGCCTGAGTGTCCTTTGTGCATATATTCTCTGTCATTCAAAAAGCTCTACAGCATCAATGGTAGTTACCAGCATATGAATTTCTTACTTACATGTGACAAATTATCAAGGGGTGGGGAGAGAAGTGGAGAAAGTCAAGTGCCACTCTATATACTAGTTGGAAATAACTAAATGCTCTTGGAGCAGCAAATGCTATTTTAAATAGATTCAGATGGCTCTTCTATTCCCTGACATCTGATGAACCCTTTTCAAGTGCAGGATATGAGCTCCTGAAGCGATTTTCTAATTAGTCCTCTCTGCTCTTTGGAACAAGATCAGAATATCCCTGGCAGAGAGAAAGCATTCTAGTGCAGTCCTGCAAGGCTACATTTTTCCTCAAAGAAGCCTTCAGCTTTTGCAAGACATTGCTGGAGAGAAAAATTAAAGAATGCATTTGATGTCTAGCAAAGCTTTAGCTCTTGGAAAATGACTTCTCCCAAGCATCACCTTTTTAGAAATTTATCAGTCAGAACATGCTGACTTTAAAAAAAAAAAAAATACTGTGCTAATGACTTCAGAAAGAGTTTTTCCTTAACTAAAATACTCAGCAATTACAAACTGGTAATATGCATCCACATCTTAGAAGAAGGTAATTACTGCATATGTTCTACAGTGAATTCAAAAGACTGATAAATTTCAGAGTCATTAAAAAAAATAATTTGGCTTTTGAAAAACAAAAAAACTACAAATATTTCCTCATATTGTTTGTACTTCCTCGATTCCTTCCAGCCACATACACATCAGTGAACATAAGACCTGTTTTAGTTAAAATATTAATACAGAGATGCTTCAGATTTCTTTTTGTGTTTATTGCTTAAACATTACAGTTTACTAAGTAAAATTCTGGCCCCACATCTAACAAATCATGCTTCCATAGTCAAAGAAAAGACAAACAGAGAACAAATCCATACAGAAGTTTTAGCCATCTTAAATCAAGGAGAGGGCGGAGCAGGAGGAGCAAAAGGGGAAAAGCAGTCATTTTAAGGTGGGAATTGACCCCTCAAACATAGCCACTGTCATCCTCCAAAGAACCAGTATCTTCCCTTACTTTCTAAAAAGCAAGGGCAGTTTTTTCTTTACTAATTAAAGTTAACATTTGATAGTCAGGTCCCTTTTATCATGAAGAAATCCCTTTGATTTCTTGCATAGTGTTAATTAGATTTGTAATTCCTGATTTCAAAATTAATTTCCATTTTTACTTACCACAGTCATCAAGGAGTATATTCTCAGGCTTCAAGTCTCTACAAATTAAACAAAACAGAAATGTGAATTATACAAAGGCAAAATTATTAGTCATCATCAAGTGCAAATGAGGCAACAAAGTCAAAATTATTAGCCATCATCAAATGCAAGTGAGGAAGCAAACATAAGACTTCTTGGTTCCGATTAAAGCATTTTTAATACAGGTGGTATTAAAATTTTGTATTTAATATATTTTATTAATATTAAATAATATTTTGTATATATCTTCCATGTATATACAAAAAAAGTTGTGAAGTTGAGGACCTGTACTATAATACCATAGAACTCAATCAACTAATCCATTTATATTAACAACAGTTATTTATATTTCATAGATGAGAAACTTTCTCTATACAACACTAAAATCTTGATATGAAGAACCACCAGCTTACACCCAATTTTGTGCTCATAAGTGAAAGACAGTTCTCCTAAGAGTATCAGCCATACAACTCCACAATAGTAAAGCACATCAATGCTTGCTGCAGTTTGATGTTGACCCCATGCTATATTCCACACCATGGAGTCAAAATATCAACAAAAAAGGAATATTCTCAAGACTAAGAATAGGCTTAATATCATCCATTCAAACTCCATTCTTTTAATTTGGACATGCAGCTTCTAAAGCTTACTAGACAATTCATCTAATTAGAGTTCTTTGCAATTGGCTTTCTAAGAGTCTCTACTAGTTTTCTGTAAACAAAGTTTCACATGAAACATTTTTTAGCTATTACATGCTAGCAAGACTCAGGCAATAGTAAAAGTGCAGTTAATTCAGTGTTGCAATTCTGCATTTTACCGGCATCATCTTGTAAATTTTTACTTTAAGAAGAAAAGAAGAAACTCAAGGGGATATCTGGATTTCCTCCCCCTCCAAGGAAAATTTGGGGAATCACCATAGCTGAATCAGAAGCTGTTCAGAGGTTACTTTTAGGATATATCCTCTAGCAGATTCTACCGAGAACATACATAGTTTCATATATATTATATATATATATGCATGGAATATATTTATAAAAGATATAATGTATATTATATACATAATTGTGATATGCATCAGAAAGTATGTGGACTGAAATACAGTCTCTTAGATTTATTCTACCATAAATATTTTAAGGCCAGAAATAGACAATTAAAAATCAGTACTTGGCTAAAGATTCAATTATTATTGGAATGGATTATTAAAAACAATATGTACATATACAGGTATATGTACAGTTGTGACATGAATAGTTATTCATATACAAGCAGAAAAGACTATGAAAGGCACAATTTTAGGAAGAACAGCTCTAGATTTACATTCAAAACGAGACAGAAATACACACTTGTTCACAAAGAAATCTGTATGCTTTTTTCCCCCAAATATTGATAAATTGATGATCTGAAGTATGTGTATTCATGTTAAAGTTTAATTTCAAGAGATTAACTGTATTAAAAAAGGCAGCAAGATGCTTTTATTTAATACTTTTAAGTCCAGACAGTCCGCATGTTAATCATTTGAAGTTAGATATGAGATTACAATAACAGAAGAATCAGGAGAGCTCAGAGTGAAAAAAACCAAAACAACAAAAAACCACAACCAAACCCCCCCCCCCCCAGTATCAAAAAAGCAGAAGAAAATTCAGCTCGAATTTTAGGTAGAAACACATCTACTTTGAAGCACGTAATAGTGCTCAGGTTAACTCAAGTCAACAACTTTAAAGAGTTCCATCTCCAAGAAGCTGATTAAAGCCTAACCTAAAACCTAAGACTTATTAGGAACATCTGCTGCTTAACAGAAGCTAATTCTGTTCTGACATGATTTTGGTCAGTCAATAGTAAAACCTGTTTCTAGCTCAATTTCCATCTCTTTAATGTTATTAGTTTCTAGGCCTAGCAGTTCACAAAAAAATCAGCTTTTATAAGTATTCAGCTATAAATTCTAGCTCCGGGATGCTAGCTTTGGGGTATCAGCCTTGTCCCTCTTCCCTTCCTCCACCATGACAGAGACCAAAGTCACAATTTCTGTTGGAATACACAGATGCTAGTCCTGCACTGGACAACAGGCTACTTGAGCTGAAAACCACGCTCAAAGCAAGAGCTAGCAAATACAATTCGAGCAACAGAGGCAGCAGTTTTCTCTTAGGAAACAGAGAAAAATTAGAGGACAGTAAAGCTCACACAAGTAAGAGGTTCATTTCAAAAAGTTTTATAAAAATTATGTATGTATTTTAAATTGGACTAAACAAGCACTAATCTATTTGTGCTATAGCTTACACCAGCCTCCCTACAGAGAAAATTTCTAAATAAAAATCCTTCCAGGGATCTCACTGTGAAGTTGTCTGAGCATGAGAGGCAGGCAATGAGCTACTTGAGTTAATCCACTCAAGCTTCAACTAGTCTTTGAGCCTGATCTTTGACCTTCTAGGCACATTCAGTGGCCCTATGGGCACCTACATGTTTGTAAGTAAAACCTAGGTATTCAAGCAGCTTATCTGATTAAAAACACTACCATCCTTGAGCAGTCACGTAACCCCTGCAGGAAAATTACAGCAATTTTGGAAAAGCAAGTACTTGTTCCCCACTCTGTCTTATGCAAATCCTGACTTCACTCTGTCTTATCAGACTTTTTATGTAGCAGATGGATGAAGAGCTCCACTACTGCCTGTTCCTATCTGTTTGCTTATTCTTCTAATGTCAGTAACATATGGCAAGTTACAAATAGTTTCACAAGCTCCCATTGAACAAGCAAACTGGCTCAATCGCTACCCCAGAGCAGTTCAGGACCTTCCTTCCAGCTCTGCACCTGTTCTTTTAACCCATTGGGAACCCTACTAACGAAATGGCATAACTGACTCCAGGGTCCTACAGACAACACTAATGCCACTGCTTGAAATTTAGTAATAACAGGTATAAAGACACATAAAACACACAATAAAAATTGGTGTTAACAGAGAGGAAAGCTTAGTTTTACCACTTTATGAGGCAATTTGCTACTGATGATGACACATCCCAAATATAATAAGTTTATTATAAATTTTAACATGACTGACTTACATTAAAACTGCCATTCTAGGTCTGAACAAACTGACAATATTAACTGATTTTATTGCTATCTGCTGACACCTGTCTGCACCAAGGATTTCTATTTTCAGAAGTTCTGAAGTTCCATTCTTCCCCTGCCTCTACAGTATACTTTCCTGTGAATATACAGATGGATAGCCACAAAAACATGTTCTCAAGAAAATATTTTCTAACAGTATGTTACAGAATTAAAGTCTGCCTTAACAGTTTAAGCTAAGCAAGTTTAAAACTCCTCCTTTAAAGCTGGAAAACAAATGCAGTAATAGCTCTCGAGATATGGCAACAAGAAAAAGAACTAGCTCTAATTTCAGAAATTCCATGGTCACACCAGTATTAAATGCTTTCAAAATGACAGCAAAAATAAGAAAAATATTACTTCTGTATCTTCTTGCCCTTGAAAATGGAAAATACTAGTTACCATAATTCAGGAAAATAATGAAACACATTTTCATTGATTCAATGATTTATATTCTCCCCCCACAACAACATTAAGACTGAAGGCTGCCAGCATAACTTCTTTGGTGAGAATAAAATAATTACGGCAAATTTTCCCAAGCTTTCTGTTTCACTAATCATATATAATCACTGCACTGCTGCTTAAATACATTTCTATTAAGATGCCTTATAGAGAATTTTGATCATATATCACTGTAATTGGTGACATTCTGAAGACTTCCATGACCACCTGCTTTGGCTTTGAAACTGTAAAATTTACAACTGTGTTCCTGAATGCATGACACAAAATGAAGTAGATATGGAAAAAACAAATCAAGACAATCATGAAAAAAATCTACCATTAGCAAAAGAGAAGAAACAAGACTTTTTTTTTTTGTTGTTATTGCAAGAAATTGGTCATTCAATACTAAAAAGCACAGGGCTGAAAGTGATTCTACAGAGTGTAAAATTATCCAAACGTCTTCCAGTATTAGTACTCATGTGTAGTTGAGCTGACATGGTATAATTAAGAGTTTTTCATCATCTATTTACATACTGGGCAGGAACTCCCTTAGTATGTCCTATACTGAATTATTTAAATAATACCTGCGGGTATTACGATTAAATTTAAGCCCTTCTTTTTCCTCCAAGCATACAAATTATTCAGTTAACTAACACATATACAGGTAACTGCATCTTAGTGTTTCATTTTGTTACAAACAGAGGACCAAAAATAATTCCCATTTTTTTAATTAAGAGGCAATTTTACTCGGTTGTGAAACTACTTTTTTCCTTGCTAATGAATTTAAAGCCATGCAACTTCTTAATAACTGGAAACTGAATATAGCACAAAACAAGGCAGAGATCTAGACACCAAGAGCACTCCAGAAGAAACCATGACCTCCAAGATCTGGAATTACAGTCAGAGAACACCAGGATTGGACATACCTGTTAAAAGGTCTTGTTAGCAAATAGCTAACAAGCTGGTCTTAAACACAAGTGCTGTGAGGTTTTTTGGTTGTTGTTTCGTTATTTTAAAGTTTTGTTTTCACCTGGGCAATGCAAAATGACCTACTTGTAGCTGATCAAATCATTCACCCTTGCTTCCCTCCTACATGCATGCCAAACCTCACAGAGTAACATTGCAAGACTGACCAAATTCTTTAGAGAATCACAACAACCAGCATAAGCCTGACTTACTCTGTGGTTCTGCCACTTTCTGCTGTGTGTACTAGTGTTCTATATTGGGGAGGGAAAGGACTAAGACTCATTCATTATATTGAAGTTATGCAGCATTATACTTTAAATCTTCTTTGAGAACAGGTGGTACTTGGTCTTACACACCAGAAATATAAAAGAAAGTGTTCTTGGTCCACAACTAAGTTTTAGAGACAGAAAAGAGCAGTAAGACCATACAATCTCAACTACAGTGCATAAGGCTTCTGCTAGTTTCATTAATTCAAAAGCAATAAAGTGCTTATTGAAGAAACCAGAAATAAAGCCAGAAAGAAGAGGACAATATGGATTATAACTGACTTTTACCCTCTTGGTTGTAACTAGCAATGCAGAAAGGGACTTCTATAGCCTGCCATGAACTTCTACTTTAGAATGGTCAGGAACACAATCCCATGTTCATAAAGCTTATTTATTTATTTGAATTACTAATGAATTTGCTTTGTAAATCATAATTTACTTTCATTTTACAAACAAACCTTGAATCAACTTTATAATATTTTAGAATATAGCAAGTATCTAGACCTAAATTAACAGTAAAACAAGTAAGATTAGTAATTTTGAAGGATACGACATGGAAAGGAAAACAAACACTTTTTTTCTTCCTTTACTATAAACTTTTTTAGTAGAAAAACAATTAACATATTCAATGCTGAACAGACATGCACATTCAAGGTACAAGTGACTGTAGATGACACTCACCTGTAAACAATTCTCTCCTTCTGCAAATCCTCCAGACCACAGCACAGTTCTGCAGCATAGAAAATAGCCCTTTCTTCATCAAAGCCAGGATTTCCCATGTTATATATGTGAAACTTCAAATCCCCTCCATTCATTATGGTTAATACTAAACACAGGGCATCTTTCGTCTCATATGTATAGGATAAACTAACCTAAAAATGGGGCAGGGGGAGAAGATGACCATTATTTATTCATAAACCCCAATGCAATTCACAGCTCTTTTTTCCAATACAAGCAATATATGAATCCTTTTTTAAAACAAAAAACAAAACAGACAGGTAGAGAATCACTCCTGTTGAGTACTTGAAGATGCAAAAGAATTCAGATTAATTTGCACATATACACAAACCCTTCGTCACCACACTAAAGTTTAGTGACATATCTGTTTAGATACCACAGAGCTCCATCCAGACAATACATTTATTGATGATGTCTCTCAGCTGCACATTCCCTATATTACTCATTGTGAAGATAATGTGAGCATATACCTTATTTTATTAATAGCTCAGGAATTATGCATTGAAAGTTGCCCTACATTAGAGAAAGTAAAAAAGTTATTTAAGATCAAATGTGTAGTTTCTATTCCTCCCCATACCTGCCCCAAATAACTGCATTTTTCCCTGGCTTAGAATTTGTCAACAGTAAAGAAATAGTATAGCTCTTTATAGTCTTTCTTCTCACTGTATTTGGAATGAGGTACCGACGAGGAAGGAAAGACAACACTTTTGTTTTTCCTGCAGGTTTTCAGTAAATTTTTTTAAAGTGCATTTAAAGTTTTAAAGTAGACTTATGAATTCCAAAACCCCCAATTTTAAAACAATGTAATATACTGCAAAATTTAACATATGTTGTTTAAATTACAAACTCAGTTTCAATAGGAAGAGCTATGCTATGCTGACACTCATCTGGCAGGATCTTCACAATTACCTACAGAGATAGTAACTAACTTGTGCTAAAAGCAATGGGATTTAAACATATATTTAATTTACATTAGGTAAGTAAACTAGGTGAAAATCAGTATGATTTTTGACTCAATAAATGTATTTTTAAATGTAGTACAAGTACATAAAGGCCATAATTCAGTAACAAGCCCAAACTCTTTCTTCAGAAGCATAAATCCAGTATTAAATAATAAAATGAAATAAATATATAAATCAGCTACTCAGGACAAGGGTTCCAATTTGGGGTTTTTAAAATGATGTGTCCAGCTATTAATGACTTGTCTTGCGACATACGGAAGACAAATTATCTACCCACTTCCAACACAGTATTACTACAGATCCTAGATCTAGATCTTCTCTGTTGCATCAAAAATATGTTGGATGGCAAGAAGATAACTTATGTTCAATCCTATGAAGTGATTTCAAATTCAACTTTGATCAATTATTGGTTGATAGTATTTAGGGATGTTGAAAAAAATATTACTCAAAACCAGAAGTTTCACTCTTATGTCATGTATCCCTAAAACTAGTAATTTCTAGATCGATTCAGGTAATATCTGGGTTCAATTTCAATCAGTTCAAGCCTATGAGCCTTGTGAGAAAATAATATTAGCATATTTAAACAAAAACATTATTTACAACCATTTAAAATACATTAATGTATCTGACCAGCAGGTTCTTAATCTTTTTCTTAGCTGTCAGTATTCTACAAGGTTTTTTTACTAACATAAAGCTTATTGGAAAAGACTTAAAATATATGTATGTATAAAATATATATGTATTTATTTATAAATAACTCCCACTATCCTCTAAAACAGGTACTTTAAAATCCTCTCTGAACAGCAATACAAAATTTATCAGTAAATGGACTTAAAAACAAAGCAAAATGCCTTTAAAATTAACATTTAAATTAAAACAATTCAATGAAAAAAAACCACATTACCTGGGGGCAAGTTTACTTGATATATCTTTGATCGTTCTAAATTATTTCACTGCTTAGTAAATAGAGCTACTAACAGACCATAATTTACATGATAGCATCAGGTTGATGTATGAAGACTATTCTGTAGAATATCTATTTAAAAGTTGTTAATTGTTTCACATCCATGATACCTCTTTAAGCCTTAGTACACAGCAAAGCAATATAACTAACCTGAATCAATATACTAGTCAAATTCCATGTTTATCTTTAAATGTGTAAGCAATAGAGTAAGGAATGTTATGAAAATACCTAGGGATATAAAAAGTCTATTAAAAGTCACAGAAATACAAGATATGCAACTTCTAAATAGCATTTAAATGGCAGACTCAGGCAGTCACCCCTTGGCAAGTGCATTTATGAATGACCTCCAAAAATTAAATTAGAAATCAGCATTAATTATAAGAAAATAGGTTTATGGGAGGGAAGAAGGGGGTAAGAGAAAAAAGCAGAGACTACTGCTTTGGAAGAAGAGATGGAGAAGAGAAACAGCAAAGTTAAAAAAATAAAGCATATGGAATATCCTCTTTATTAAACATAGGTAACATAGACTTGAATAATCACTTAAAAACTGGTTTTTGTGCAGCCTAAGTACTACAGATTCATCTATTAACCTTTAAAAAGGGGACAAAAGTTCAGTGGCATCAGAATGCTGAAACACAACCTAAGGTTTTGGAAGTGAGAAATAAAGCAGGCAGACTATAACCAATTCAGTACTGGATAAAAACATCCTCTGCACAGAACTGCTCACAGTCACACACAAAACTTACTACTATTTATATCAATCATTTCTTTCAGCAGTCATGCATTCTCTAAATCAATTTTAAAAAAAAGTCTTGTGCCCACAAGCTCCTGGAACACTAAAATGAAGTAAACAAAGTAAGACAAACTTCTGAAAATAAGATCAGAAGCAGATACTTACTACAAACCTACTATTCACTTTTTCTAGAATTCTTTTTTCATTTAGAGCCATTGATTCTCCTTTTCTCTTCTTTATTCTCTTTTTTTCTAGCTTTTTACAAGCGTACATTTTTCCCGTTGCCCGTACTTGACAGGCACACACCTAAAAAAGGAAAGATGGTGTGTCAGAGATGCTGGGGTTTTTTAAGAGGTTTTTTTTTTTTAAAGATTAAATTTTGTTTTCTTTTTTCAAACTCTTAAGTGCTCTCAGAAAAACAAGGTCTATAACTTTCACCCATGAAACAACTTTGAAGGGTCACAAAAGCTGTAACAGAAGGAGAAAAAGTGATTATACAGGAGCAAACACATTTTTGTTGGGGTTGAATGGTTCAATAAAACTGTGCATCTTGTGCTGGTGAAGCACCTGACTGTGGTAACAGTATATGTCTGGGCAAGCAAGACAGAGGACAAATATCCACACCATAATCAAGCAGGAAAAAGATAATGATAAATTAGTAACCCTCCTTCCTTGTCAATATGGGGCTTCAGTTGAAACATATAGGGGGGCAAAAAAGTCTAATGAATTATAAACAGAAATAATAAAACCTATAGTTTTACTTAGTAGATACATGAATATTCTACATAATTAAGTAGAAAGTACATTCTCATTGCCAAATGAAATTTCTAAATGGAAGCAACTGTTGTTAGTCAGTGGAAGTTTTCTCCAACTTTGTGCATGACCTACAATAGTGAAAACTAACACATTAAAAGAAGAGAGTTTGGATTGACAACAATTTGCCAGGTTACGTGTCAAATGTACATCGTTAGAGTCAAAAGTTAAAAAAATGCTTCTCCTCCATATCAACTTTTTTTTTTTCTTAAGGGTTGCCTCACAGAAAGATACTTCTGTACTCACCTCTCCAAATCCACCTTTGCCTAGTACTCGGTAATGCCTAAATGTGTGTTTGGTTACTGGTTGCCTGATTAACAGAAAGAAACAATTACTGCAACAGAAATTACAAGAATTAGCAATCCCATCCCCACCTCGAGCTCTTCCTTCATTTTCTCCTTCCTGTTCTATGACATCTTACTGAACAACAGTTGCCTTGACCTCACAAAGACAGTATTATAGTAAACTGAATTTCAGATGAAAGGGGTGTTCTCATTAGAAACATTGGCTCCCTCGTGTGGTCATCAGATTCACAATAGCAGGAAGAAAAGCTTTATCAGTTAGGCCCTATGCTGTTTATCGTTAGAGACAGTCAATTTATCACCTCCAGTTGTCTCCCTTAGTTGCAGTATGCTGTCTCTTGTCAGCGCAGCATGTAGGCTGCATTTCAATGAGATCATGCTTACAATGCAGCATTTAAAGGTAAACCATTTCTGATTTTGCTTTGCTGTTTCACTTTTTCAACGAAGAAAGAGTTATGGTATACAACAGCAGTTCAAGGACCAAATTGTTAAGGTATTGATGTAGTGGGAGAGGAACAGATAACTGGAGGCAGTAAACACTCCTAAACATGTATCAGAGCAGGGCTATTTCATGGTGGTGGGGTTTTTCTGATTTGTTTTAAAAGAACATTCATTGTTAATACAGCTTTGTTCTCAGGACAACAAATGAAGGTTCATTTGGTAGAGAATTTTGTTTAATTGTTTGAGTAACTTCCCTAGTTCTATTGCTGGCTTTTGCTAATAATTCAGTCAAATAAAGGCACTGGGTAACTGGAATTTGCCATAAAATTAATGCTCAAGCACAATGTTTGAATACATGATCATGATTAGAGTCAATTTGTACCAATTTCAGCCTTCTGAAAAAGTCTGGACACTCATTTAGTATTGATTTAAACGCCCAAACTAGATTCTGATATATATAAATCTTGCTGTCTGGTAATTACTAGATCTGTGTCTATACCACTCTGAAAAACTGAGTAGTTACCCAATCACCTAGTGGGTTATAAAACCAGATTAATCTGTTTATTAACCACTAATTAGACCAAGTTTGAAACTAAAGGATGATAGCATTCACAAGGAAGATTAGTATCCCTCTGCACACTTGACAGTCAAAAATATGTCCATATGATAATAAATTTACATTTAACTAATACAAATTTACCATTTAAAGACTACTGGACAGATACTTCCATTGGAGTATTGGCTCTCCTGATGTCTGAAATGCTGGGGATTCAACCCCAAGCCCCAAATTAAGGTTGACATGTGGGTGATTCCCACAGCCCTTCACCAGGGGGTGGTGAGTTTACCTTTAGGCTTCCCTCCAGGGTGGGCAGCCTTGCAGGGGGAGCCATGGGGTAAATGAGCCCCAGGTGTCCTGCATTGAGTAACCAAAGGTCAGGTGTCCCACTTGGGGATAAAAGCTGGGACCCCTTGCAGGAAGGGGCAGTGTCTGCCTGTGAGGTGGATGCCCTGTGCAGAGTTCCCTGTTGGGGAAGGACCTCCTGCCTCCCTGGGACTGGGCTCCACTCAGGTCTGGCTTTTGTAAATGTGGGCTGTGTAGAGATACAGTATGTGGCTTCCTTGGTCTTATGTATTTGGCTTGTTGACTCTGTTGTCTCCCATCCCTTCTATGGGAGACTGCATTTCACCATTTATTCCTCCCATTGCTGGTCATGCGGTGTTGCTGTTGGGGTCAGTGGGATTGATGTCAATTATGTATAATCTGACTTGTTTGTACCCCCAGTGCTCACCCATGTACTGACCCTTTTGTATCAAATACTATTTGGTTATTGGTTCATCTTTATGCTGGCTGTGTGCTTAATGCTAGGCTTAATAAATGGCAAAACAATGTCCCATCCTTTACATCTTGTCTTTCAGACCACAATTTTAGAAAGGCAGTGTCATTTCTTACGGCTCTACATCATTTCTAGCATAACAAGCAGACTTGGCCACAGATCAAATCAAAATTATGTCAACATTATAAACAAACTTACTTTTCCAGCCATTTCCACTGTAAAAACCGTGAAAAAAACACACTTTCTTGGTAAGCTTCAAAAGGTCTTCTGCTTAGGTATTCATGGACAATTCTAGGAACAGGAAAATAAAAGCAATCTTATACTGAAAAAAATGATGAGGCAGGAGGTGCTGTCAATTTGTTTAAATATACTTAAACATGTCAATGAAGCTGTAGGCAAAAAAAACATTGTCACTGTGCTCTACAATGTTTTTAACCTAGATGTCTCAAAAAGCAAGTGTCTATCACAGAAAATTGTTCCTTTCAAGACACTAGTGAATGCCAAACTACTGTTACTTATACTAACTAGAAAGTTTGACCTCTGCATTCTCATTAAGTGTCTTCAAGCCCACCTGAACATCAGCCTCTCAGTAGCAATGCAATGCATGTATCATCCCACAAATATGACCTCTGAGAGATATTTACAGGAAAGCATCTACATGTTTTCATACATCCTTTGGAGACTGGCAAGTAAAATTTTATTTTAGGATTTGAAATTGTAATACTAAATGCCATATCCAAACCTGAACACCAGGCACCTTATCATTCCCCTTAAACTAAACACACCAAGGGCAGGACGTAGGTGGAAGAAAACAAGTAATTCAAAATGTATTCAGGTATTTATTGGACAGAGGAAAGGGGATAACCTACATGACGGATCCTCCATTTGAGACATGTTTTACTAGGTGTTCTCACACATCCCTTTCAATCTTATAATCTCAGGTTGTTATAAAGTATGCTTATTTTTGTTGCCAGGGAGATGACCCAAGCAGTGACATAACATGTTGTAATCCTTCAGACATGATCAAGCATGCCTTGAAGAACCAGTAATATTAGAAACATAAAGGCTTTAGAAAGACATGCAACACTGGTAAACATGTACCATCGCTCAAAGAAAAGCCAGAATTCTCTGCCGCTGCTGTGTGAAATATCACTTCATAACTTCAGAAGACCAAGTTGTATCTGTTTGTGTTAACGGCCATCTTAATGAAATATAGCTGTTGGCCTCAGTTCAAACCATTTTCAAGAACCATAAATTTTGTAACATTGTTGAGAAACCCTTCAAGCTCCAGTTTATAACTTTTTTTTTTTTTGAGTACCTTCATTATGGAAGAGAAGTAACTCTAAAGGTAAGAATATAATAAAGAGAAATACTATTCTAACTTACAGAATATTTGGTAGCAGATCATAGTGTGATTTTATGCAACAACAGCATTAAAGAAAAAAGCTCTGCAGAAGTCAAATATCTAAATCATATCTGAAGGAAGCCTAGTACTCCAATAAATCTGTTCCATTACCTACATTCATTTAACAGACCAATTACTCCTGGGTATAACAACTTCACCTTTCATTTCTTTCAGAAACATAAATTTCTCTTGTGAGAGATGCATCACTATGCATTTTTAACTTACCTAGTACAGTCCATAAAAAGATCCTTAGAAGGGTTCTTTTCCAGTCTTGCTTTACATTCATTTACTGTTTCCTGAGGTATTTCTGGCAAGTGTGCTGCAGACTTTACATAATTAAAAAAAAAAAAAAAGCCACAATGAAAGCAATTTTGTAAATCAATAGAACGAGTAGAAATTCTGTATTCAAAGTGAAATGAAATCTTCTAATACAGGAAAAAGAAAGGAATGGTTTTGCTAAAGAGAAAACCAAGAAAGTCATATTCAGGCAAAATTTTAATTTGTTCTTTATTACAAAAAAATGCTTTGGAAGCTTTTACAGTTATTTACTGTTTCAGTATCTGGGGAAACAAACTTGGCAATAAGTCAAATTTCTTTTTCTTTCCAAAAGTCTACCACCACAAAAACAAGTTATCTGTGTGGCTTGGCAGAATGGAAGGAGAAACACACACACCAGTTGGGAAACTATTTCAAACCAGCTCAAAGAAATCTGCATTTTTTTTTATTTTTTTTTCAAAAGCTCCATGTGACTTATGGTAGTCCCAAGGAAATGATCAGAAGAGAAGTGGCACCTGCAAGAACTTCATTTGGAGTAAATTATTCTCAAGACAACCAAAGTAAGAGAAACAGAAGGAACATCTATTCACAGAAAGCAAACATCTATTTATATATCCACAGAAAAGCTTCTACTGGATACCAGACTTTTAAAAAAATCAATCAGTGAGATGTTATATTTGCAAAAGATGAGCTATTAATGCTCCCCATGCAAAATGCAGAGAAACAGAATTCTCTAGAACAAAATAAAACAAAATAGCATTTCACTTTGTGAAAACCTGCAACAATTCTGAAAATTTACAGCAAACTAGCCAAGGCCACACAGAAGTCTGAAAGAAGCCTGAGAATTTCAAGAATTCCTCATTCTCATGCCTTCAGACTACAAAACTCTGAAATAATTTGTTAATAAGTTTTCTTTAGATGCTAAATTATTTTGTTGGAAAATATCTTTACTTCAGACCAGTATTTTAGTTAGAAAACATAAATGAATGAATTGTAACGGTAGTCGTCTTAAGAGCAGAGATCAGTCAAGGCTTCTGCTCAAGTTGATGTTTCGCAATTGCAGAAGGCAGTATACCTTTCAGAAAGACAAAAATGGGACTAATGAAGTTCGAAAGTCAATTTACTAAAAACAGTGCAACCACTTAGATCTCTATTTATCTGACATATACAAAACATTGGAGACAATATTTTGCAATATAATATATTTACCCCATTAGTGAAGTACGTCTCTAAAACTTTCAGGCCACAGTCTATACGCTTTTCATCTGAAGATACCTCATATTCTGCCTAGGGGAATGGAATTGAAAATTAAATTATGTTCAGAGCTATTCAGCATAACAATCTTTTATATGATGCTAGGTAAATTTTATCATGAACAACACAATGCTCCTAGTATAAAAGCAACTGAAGGCTCTCATTGTTTAAAATCTATTTAAAAGACTTTTAGGCTACACAGTGAAACATGTATGAAGAACAGTCTTAAGAAAAAAAGCACATGGAATTTAACTTTTGAGAAACATAAGAAAAGTAACAATTAATCTAAATGCAATTACAGAAACTATATCCTAGAGGTTAAATTAGATCAATTACAACGAAATAGTATTTTTGTTGTATTGTAGGTCAGAATGATCCAGACAGGAAATAATTAATTAAGAGTACAAAAATCACTTTTTTCTTCACTGTTTTTTTTTTTCCCTTCATGTATTTTTCTTTACTAGTCTTGGGTAAAACCAGGATAAAACCACTACTTTCTACAAGGCCATGTTAACTTGGGAAATAAGCGAGATCTAAACAAAAACCTACTTTATTATTTGAGAAAATAAAACTGAGGAGATACAAAATGACTTAATAATATATGGTGTCACGATGAAGAAAAATACCATTGTGCAATACAGCGCATTTGCAGATAAACAACTGGCAGCTTAACAGAGCTCCAGAGGCAGTTCCTTATGAAAAAAACCAAACCCAAACTATCAAACAGATACTAGTACAGGAAAGCTCCAAGGACTACTTAATAATAATCATTTTAAGGAATAATCTAGCAGCAGTCATCAGAAGTTACAACATTTAAAGATAACACAGAATGTGGGGAAAGATGAATTAGAAAAGAGAGATCTCAAACAGCAACCTGTATTAGCTTTGTAAGCTGGGTCAACTCAAATCAAAGCTTATTTCATATCTTGGAATGTAAATGCATGCACCTAGGAACAAAGAATATATGGCAGACCTCTAGAATGTAGGACTGGAGCAGTACAATGGCATATGGGGAGAACAATCATTAAGAACCTCATAAGAAGTTCCAAGTGATTGATCTAATTGGAAGAGAAGTTATGTACCCTTATAAGGGAAACTACAACACTGAAAAATGACAGTTCAAGAACCAATCACACACACAATTCTGGAAATAGCAGAATCCCTAAACTCCAGTTTTGCAATCAGTTGCAGCTAACCCACACTGACTCACTACTAAGTCATCAACATCTTTTTCTGTTGAGACATTATGGTATCAACCACTTCAGCATAGTACATAAGACAATTGCAAGCCTTTGTTTTTGCTACTTTAATTCCACAACAATCAGTCTAATGTTAAGGAATACTTCTGCAAGTACCAAACAACCTGAGCAGGTCAGAAAAGTTAATCAACCACAGCAGTGCACTTACCACCTTTTACATTTTCAATTATGCGAAAGTAGGCACTCATTAAATACAACAGTTAGGCATGTTGTTTCAAGCAGATACTCTAATTTATAAGTAAGTTGAAGAGACAGCCTTGTCAACTGATTTCAGTTACTCACAGAGCTTAAGTGGGTAGATTGAGCTGTCACCCATGCTTTTTCATACTTGAGTGACCTTGTCCCCAGCTAGTGAAATGAGTCACTAGATGATGGGATAACTGTAATTCCTCACTTTAATTTCTGTCGCTTTTATTCAATTATTTTGCAACTCTATATAAAGCCAGCCTAGACTCTAGACTTTCAGGTCACACTTTCTCAGAAGTTAAAGCTTACCAGTCTTAGTATTCAGTACAGGTGGACAACATAGCAGTGTACTACCTTGATTTTGCCATTTTGGCCTCCTGAAATCACATTGCTCCATATAAGAGTCAGAAAACTTTTTAAATTCAGATTCAAGGCTCTTAAGACTATGTCATTTTATGCCAGAAAGTATTTTCAGAAAGATTAAGTCTGAAATTTATTTAAAATAAAAAAACTGGCAAAACCCAATGTAAAAACCCTACAACCTTTCCCTTCACATTACTGCCTTACAAACAAAACCAACAAAAAAACCCCTCAACACTACCCCCCCACTCCATAAAACGCTTAAGCAAGCTTGCTGAAGTCCAGTCCAGAAAAGGGAATCAGGCCAACTCAGGAACAACTGGTAAGAGATAGTAGGTATTTTATCTCACTTCCTTGATCAGACAGCATGCTAGCTTTCAGGCCATGAGAGTCACCAATTAATTATCTTAGCTCTTATGAGACTTCTTTTCAGGAATTCCCAAGCATACTTCTTCAAATGAAAGTTAAAAAATAAAAAAGTAAATTGTGAAATCATACTTTATATCAGATTATCTCAACTATGACAGTCTTTGTTAATTCACAGAAGTGTTGCAATCCCCATAACATTATAGGTTGCGTAGTTCAAAACAAGTCAAACTTTTCAGATAGCGTTAAACCAGTTACTTCTTAGAGACAATTTCACCTGAAAAATGACGTCTGTAGAGCAAAGACACCCCTGCCTTACAGTCATGCCTAAGATTTTTTTCCACTTTTGTGCTGCCAAAGATTCTGCTACTCCTTATCTAAGCTTTTAAGGACTAAAACGGTGCACAGAAGTTGTAACCATTAAGTGTACAACCACAGTCACCAATGGTCTCCCCATTGCACTATGCTCATTAAAGGCTCTGCTTTACATTCACTTCAGGATACTTGGCTCCATAGTTCTCAATTTCCATTCAATCCATTCTGTGTCTCCAACTGCCAAACTGGAATTTGGTGATAGCTCCTAAGAGTCACAAAAATATGGTGAAATGCACCTGGGAAGTAAGCTTAATTGCACAAAGATAATGACAAATAAAAGGCAACTCTACCTGTTTGACACTAAGGTTCATTTTTAGCTGATCAAATGCCTCAATTTATATTCCCGTAGCGGGAAGGAAGATACGGTGAAGTGGGGGGCACAGCAATAATCTCACGTACTTCCCTACACCATGCACCCTTCAGTGTTATCTTGCATTCTGATACTGTATTTTGGGATGCATGTAGGCAGCAGCACCACCCTACCACTATCTTGTTTGGTCATTTGTTCCCTGAATATAAGAACAAAAATCAGTTGGGATGAGGAAAACTGTTCTTTTGGCAGCAATCTCCGTTTAAGACTACATTTTACTGTGCTTGGATTAATATGAGGGACAATGAATTAAAAGCTCTGAGCTATTATTCTTTTTTCTTCAGGACTGTTGTGTGCCTGCCTACTCCCCTCATTACTTTCCCCTCCCCGTGAGGGTTTTGCCTGAGGATTTTTTACAGAAAACGGTTTTGGGCACACTTCCTTCCTTCCCTTAATCTTTAGCATCAGATACCAAGATGCAAATGTAACCAGACAAAACACTTCCTTTTCCCTTGGTCTCTAAAACCTGGTTTCTGTCCTTCCATAGATGGAATTTCCATAAATTTCCATCTCCATTGTTTTTTATTTAATTAGCACATTATGTCTAGCCTAGGGCTTCCATGCAAGTTGCAACATTTTCAAGTCTGTTTACAACATTTTCAAGTCTGAATATCATAAGTAATATTCATTGTACACATCCTTTTAGGCTCAAGAAGTCAAACAGCATGTCTTTCTAAAATTATTTCTCTCATACCCATCATGCCCAAATTTTTGTAGGTCATCATACCAAGATGTCAGAGATTTTATACTAAATATTAAACATCTTCCTTTAAGTAACAGAGCCAGAGTTTTTTGACATTCATAAAGAGTCATGGCTTTACAGTTGGCAAAGAATAAATCACATTAAATTTTCATGTATGCAGCATTAGTGAACAGATGTGTTTAGAGAAAAATTAACATTCTATAAAATTGTTGTGTTAACACCCGTAGGCAGCTAAGCCCCACACAGCCACTTGCTCACTCCCCACCAGTGGTAATCAGAAGGGTGGAAGTGAGAAAACTTGTGGGTTGAGATAAAGCAGTTTAATAGATAAAGCAAAGCTGCCTGTACAAGCAAAGTAAATTAAGAAAGTCATTCCCTTCTTCCCATCAGCAGGCAGATGTTTAGCCATTTCCAGGAAAGCAGGGCTTCATCATCATGCGTAACGGCTACTTGGCAAGACAAACACCATAACTCTTAACTTCCCCCCTTCCTCCTCCTTTCCCTCAGCTTTATTGCTGAACATGGCATCATATGGCATAGAATAACCCTTTGGTCAGTTGGGGTCATGCTGACTGTCCTGGCTGCCCCCCCTCCCAGTTTCTTGTGCACCCCCAGCCTACTCGCTGGTGGGGTGGTGTGAGAAACATAAAAGGCCTTGATGCTGTGTAATCACTGCTCAGCCATAAGTAAAACATCCTTGTTATCAACACTGTTTTGGTCAAAAAATCTAAAACGTTGCACAGCATGAGCTATGATGAAGAAAATTAACTCTATCCTAGCCAAAGCCAGAACAAAACTCACACCTTTTACAAACACCTATCGTCTACTGATATCCATCTCCAATTTCTCACTGCTTACCACTGCATCCAGAAATTCAATGCATCTTTTCAAATCTGGTCTGGAATCACAGAACTGTCTGAAGAGAAGTCTTCCTATTGGCTGTTTGTCACAAAGCTGGTTATAGTCTCTTTCTGAGAGAGAAATAACAAGTAAATATATTTATGTACTTTTATCTTTGTCACAGCATGGTCCTTACTCCCATTTGAGAATAGGCCAGGAAAAAAAAAAAAAAAAAAAAAAAAAAAAAAAAAAATCACTAAACCATAAAGATTTTACATTAACATATTTAACAAAGACATCAAAACCAGGAAGTGATCCCAAAGAATAGTGAAACACTCACTTCCAGCCACATTTGTCTCGTATAGACTACCACATTCATTAAAAACACATTGAATGATATGGTTAAGTTTCATTTAGGTTGGGTGTGGAAAGCAACAATACTCTGAAATAGCAATCCCAGAGCAAACACATCTGTTTGGAAAGAAGGAATACAAAATAATTACTGAAAAGGTTAAAAAATAATGACATTAAGAAAAACGTGAAATATATTACCATGCCATTCAAATTACAACATGATTCATTTTTCTAATTCATGGCTTTGTAAATTTATCCTTTAGGAGCACTTTGCGTTAACAAACAAGGAGCTGCAATACAGCTTTTATCTTCTCATAAATTCCCCAACACATTAAGTTTAATAGCTTTTTTGGCTAACTAGCATTCAGAAGCAAGACAGAATCCTTTCAGTTAACCACCAAACTTTTACCCTTCCTTCTCAAAAAAAAAAAAAAAAAAAAAAACACCTACCAATTGAGCATCTAATACCTTCACAATGACTAACAGGCGGCAACTTCAGCATCTCTTTCCATTTTTTACTACGCCCACTCCGTTTGCCTAGAAAAAAAGATATGAGTCATGTCAAACACAATACTGTGTCAGAATAAAATTAAATATAACATTAACAGCATAAAATTATGTCACTTCTGCACAGATTTGTCAGACAGCTTTTCATGCCTAGAAAGAAATCCCCCTACAAGGATATCCAAATCAATAACAAACTTCATAGAATCACAGAACCATTCAGGCTGGAAAAGACCCTTATGATCATCAAGTCCAACCATCAGTCCTACTCTACAAGTTCTCCCCTACACCATAACCCCCAACATCTCATCTAAACGACCCTTAACCACATCCAGGGATGATGACTCCACCACCTCCCTGGGCAGCCTATTCCACTGTCTGACCAACTTGATACAGAAGAACTTTTATATGAAACACTAAAAAATGCAGTAAGTCTTTTGCAAGACAAGTATTTCATAGTTTGGTTGTACATACAGAATATCTCTGCAGAGACAAGGCAAATATCTAGGATTCTGAAAATTACAAACGAAACTGAAACATCAAAAACAGAAACAAAAAAAATTTGAGAATTATCTCTCAACCATAGTGAAGAATGGAAGATATTAAAATTGAGCAACAAAATACATAGAACAAAGATCTTAAAACATATTTTTGGATAATCAAGATGTACATAAATATTTTCGTTCTTTTTTTTTTAAGGGCAGTAATAGTAAAAGAGTAAACCCCACTAGTAAATGAGCGAGCACTGCTCAAACACACACCATTTATTCCAGACTACAGAAGGATACAGGATATCAGGAAGAATTTCACTATTGTAGGATTTCAGATCTTTTCAATGCTTCAGATTCACAGCACTAGTATTAAACTGATTTTTAAAGAGTACTACAGTATTTTTCTCAATGTTTCTCAAAATATATAGCTGATCCATTTTCTACATTCAATTGGAATTTTAGCACATTACTTTCACCTGAAGAAGCCAATTGCATTTACAGAATAAATGCATACTTATCAGAAAAAGCAGAGATAGATACAGGAACATATGTATGTATTTCACTGCAAAACATTTCAGCAGAAGAGCAATTTTTGTGCTGCAAAATATTATAAAAGAAGATTTTACGACGTGATATGGCCAGATGCGTTTCCACAGGACAAAACAGTAGCAAAACAGCACAGAAACTTTCTAACTGTACCAAAGCAGTATGTACTGTTAACCACAATGGGAGAGAAAGGAAGGGAGTTACCCTATGTAACCCGAATAGAAACCAAGCAGCAAACAGTACTCAACTCTTACAGAATTAAATCGTTAGGGAGAAAGGAACTAACATCTTCAGAGTAATAAAATATGTATTAAAAATAACCCTTTTCTCTCAAACATACAGCTTCTTGATGAGTTCTACGGTTGCAGTCTGAGAAGCTGCAGCTTAGTGTACCTTAGCTCATACCAAATTTATACTAACAGGAACACTGACATCTCACTGTGCTACTGCAAAAAAATATTCTCAACTCAAGTAGCACTAGAAAAGTAACAAATAAGGAATATAAAACCTTAAAAAGCTGGTTCTCAGAGATTCTTTGAACTGATACCTGCTTTCTACAAAACCTTCTTCTGCATTTCATTTCCTCATGTTGCTTTGTCATTCACCTTCCAAAATATTTTAGAATACAAATATATCAAATCTACTGCCACCCCCCTCATACTTCATGCAGTACTAGAACTAATCATGAAGCTGTAATTACCAGCACCATTAAAAAAAATATCCAACTATTTTAACAAAATATTTTTGATGTTAAAGTTCAATATATGCTTGAAGAAAAATCAAACTATACAGAGCAAAGAGCATTTCTAACAGAACTGAACACAAACAAAATCAAGGAATACTAACACAGATAGCCTGTACACATACACTGAATAGAAAAGGACTGGGTATAGATTATTATGTGAGCATGAAAAAGAGTGGACAGAAGCACCAACTTAATTTTTAACCATGTAACTGAAAAATACACTAAGCTGCAAGGTCCATAGAAGTTGGGGTTTTTTTCTGTTAGAAACTCTTCAGAAAGACTCATTTGTGCACAACACAGTACAACCAGTATTGACCAAGAATGATAAACTGACCTAAATTCATACCCCAATGCTGTTTGGAAAAAGTAAAACTGAGTTGTGATGTACGCCAAGTATTATCATATTCTGAAGAACAGTCAAAAGGAAAAAAACAACCAAAAAACAACCAACAAACCACAACAAACCACAGCAAAAACCCAAACCAAAAAAAAGATGATCACTGGTCCATTATACTTCAAGTCCAACACAAGGAAGTCTGCTGTATTTTGCCTCAAATACTTGGCCAGTTACTTACTATGTGACCATTATGAACTTCATTTTACGGAAAGAGACAACATGCTAGAATGCAATTGAATTCACCATCCTATAGAAGTCAATAAAGACTACATATAATTTATTAATGATACACAAGAATCAAGTGCTTAAGAGTATCAACTAAATCAACATGTTCTCTCTTCTTTGAACTGGTTGTTATTACATTTTCAGCAAATGCACAGAAAAAGTCTGTATGCCCCACTGTTCTAAAGAGAATCCATGACCTACATCACTTACAGATAAATTAGCCACTTCTGGTAAAAGTTAAGGGAAGAGGCCAATTTGTTTGTCATAATATTCCCTGATCGCAAACTCCTTTTCCATTTCTGAGGCAGTTTAAAAGAAGTATCAAATCAAATTATAATAGTTGTGGTTTGTAAGTGTCTTAATATTGATTTTAGAGCTTCTATTCTGGATGTTATTCTAAAATACTTCAGATAAAATTCTTGCAGAAAGACCAACAGCTTACTTTCCAACACAGAAGCAGCATAGCCATTAGGTTAATCTGCTTTATGGTTGACCTATGTGGTTCAGCTGAATTGCCACTTTTGCCTCTCTCAGATGTAATTGCTGGCTAGAACAATGTCCAACTTGAAGCAACTCATCTTTTACCAAGAGAAGGGTGGATGCAGATTTATGCCATTACAATGAGGAAACACTGTAATTACATTTTCAGGTACATGAGAACCTTACCTTCTCCTCCCCAAATTACTACTTAGAGTTTGAATTTCAGTATTTACCTCATTGCATGTTTTCCTTTCGTAAAAAGATGTGTACTAAATTCTGTTAGGTCATTGCATTAGAATATGTTACGGAAAGATATTTTCAACTTTTCAACTTTCATTTTTCAACTTTTTCTTTTTCTAAAACTTCGGAAAAACATTTGAAAAAAGTAAGGCAAGGTGGTTGGCTTATTCACCAGCAAAAACACAGCTATTTGCAATAAGAGAAACTGCTGTGGCAAAACAAAGCAATCTGGTATAGAAAGAGATTGAGACAACTAAGAATATTTTTCAGGTCATCGGATGGACTTCCCACAGCCACAATGATCTTCCTTACAGACAGGATTTGTAGCGTGACTCTCATTTCACTGAGCACAATGTTCACTGAACTTTATTAGTCAGTCTTCCTTGAGACAGAACACTTGGAATCTGACCTATGGAATGAAAATAGTGAGAAGCACCATACTATCCTTGGCTAATAAGGCTACACAGACTATATGTGGTAAGATTCAGTAGCTACTGCACTGACACTAAGATTCTGCTTCAGCTTTCCTGCCTGTAAAGGGCAAGCAATGTCTCTCTGTGGTTGAGAAGCACACTGCTATGTAGCACTAGGGGTGCATGATTGCTACAACATCATTCTTGCAAAACTGATTCCACAAACCAGATTGTCAGATACCAGCTGAGAAATTCATCGTAGACCACACCCAGATAAACTCTGAAAGCATAAAACTGCAACAATAAGACAACTTACAGCCTGTTAACTGTATAAATCAATCAATTAGTTCAATGAAAAATGCAAAAGAACTGACGCAGAAGCTCCCCATCATCTACACTGAGATGCATGAGAATAACTGGGTACACACACTGTCATACAATACATCTTTCCCACAACAGAGAAAGTTGCAGTCGTTTCCCAACAGATTTTAAACTCTAATGAATTCAGATCTTCTCCTACTTACAGATGCATTTTCCTTCAAACCACTCATAATAAGAATTAAAAACTTTCACTGAAAAATCAAAGTATTCCTGTTTAACTCTGGCCTTGCCCTACAAAGACATTTATAAACACTGCCCACTAAATAACAAATGTTGATGGTATGCCCTTGCTGTGCAAGATCCACCTTCAAGACACAGAACACTGTGGAATTAAAACTCAGGTCGTCAGATCAGAACAGTAACACTGAAGCACCCCTGACTTCATGCTAGGAGACAAGTTCACACATACCATCTCTTGAGGAAGGCTGTCATGCTTCCAGCTCTAGAGAGAGCTCATGCAGTACTGCTTTGTGGGGTCTCTGCAACCTTCTCCATTGTGCACGTCATATTTTTTGACATCTCAGTTGCTTGAAAAGCAAGCCTGGTCACAGTTTAACAACTAGGCTTAACAGAGCGGCATCTCTTTTATACAGGGGAAGAATTTCTTCCAGAAGTATGATACAGATAATGTCTGACTCTCAGCAAGTTTACCAGAATCAGCTAGCTGAAATTTCAGATTTCAGCACAAGGTAGGCACCTAACTCTTCAGTGTTATTAAAGGCCAAGACATTTCTGAACACAAACAGAAGCAAAAATACAAGCAGTTCAATAAACACACATGAAAGATAACAATAGATCACAGATTGTTATGGTATTTTTAAGATAATATTCCTCACACTCCTGGATTCAAGTGCCTAAAGTTGGACTTCAGCAAGGTAATGCTCCAGTCCTCTTGTTCATCTGACTGTTAGAGCAGTAACACTGTAAGCAGTTAAAAACCCCATGTATCTATGTGAGCATTTGTGCAGCTTGTTTATACACACAATCATTTATTGTTCCCACCACTATAACCACTTGAACAACTGGTTCTTCACATCAACTCTATATACAATTTCAGTAATCATGTGCACATTTAAGAATGCTAGTGCATACATGCTGGACTTTCTCCACTTCTT